AAAAAAAAAAAAAAAAAAAAAAAAAAAAAAAAAAAAAAATGCCTCATTAGATCCAATTTGAAAACACATGTATGAGGATCTCTAAACAAAGATGCCAAGTAAAACAGGAGCACAATTATCTAACAAAATGAAAAAATAAAATTGCCCCAAATTCTATACTTACAACCTGCTAACAAAAGGATATAAAATTATGTCATACACTTTGAAAATGATAGTCAAAGCAAGAAACAGAAGATTCTGGTCGGATGAGGTCCATTTCCTAAAAAGGCTTTGAGCATGATTGGGTAGGTTATTCTGCTCAAGGGTGCTTAGCTGAAAAGATGAATTGGGAATGAAAGCCAACCTGTGTCCCACTTGGCAAGCTATAAGAACTGGCCTCCGTGAAAGGGTACTATCTTCTAATTTGCACAAAAGCACCACATATGCCAGTAAGGAACTGTCTCTAAGCCTTGTCTGTATGTCCAAAAAGCAATATTAGGAGAAAAGGTCAACTAACAAAATATTGAGAAGTCTCACTAGTAACTTAAGAATTTGGAGAAAGGGCAAATAGCAGATAAAAAGCAGAACTGAGAAGTCAAAGAACAAAACAATTAAAAGAAAAATCCTTTACAGGCCCATCGGTAAAGATAAGGAGGATCACCAGGGTTTGCCATTTAACAGAGCTCAGTGGTAGCCAAAATCCACAGTAGTGAGATACATCCTTGGCTGGGATAAGTAGGTCTTGAAAACAGATCAATACAGTAGTAGGATCTTACAAGAGAGACCTCAGAGCCCAGGCCCCCAAGCAAGAACCTCAGCCTTAGCAGATCTCTATTCTTTCACTACCCTATGCCTCAGGCTAGAAAGAAGTGGTGAGAACACAACACGGAGCCCTCAAATTTTACATGGGAGAAACAAAGTAGTTACACTAAGGTAGAAAGGGTGTCAAAGAGAATTATCAGAGAAAGCAGGTTTGAACAGAGTTGCCCAAGTTAATAATGAGCAATATATCATGAAAAAGCAATACAGCTATGTAAATATACCCCAGGAAAAAGAAGAGAAAGAGAATGAAGAATTCAGTCTGGAAGAAAACAGCCACAAACAGAAACAGACTCCCCATACACAGGATAGAATTATTTAAGAATACAGATCCTATATAAAAAAAAGAACTCAAAGGCAAAATGAGATGCATCGTGAGCTTCCCTGGTGGCGCAGTGGTTAAGAATCGCCTGCCAGTGTAGGGGACACGGGTTCGAGGCCTTGTTTGGGAAGATCCCACATGCCGCAGAGCAACAAAGCCCGTGCACCACAACTACTGAGCCTGCACTCTAGAGCCTGCAAGCTACAACTACTGAGCCCACGTGCCACAACTACTGAAGCCCGAGTGCCTAGAGCCCGTGCTCCACAACAAGAGAAGCCACCGCAATGAGAAGCCCATGCACCGCAACAAAGAGCAGCCCCCGCTCGCCGCAACTAGAGAGAGCCCATGTGCAGCAACAAAGACCCAATGCAGCCAAAAATTAAAAAATAATAATAAAATAAAATGAGACGCATTGCTGAGGAAACAAAGTGAGAACTGAAATGACAGTAGTGCAGAGTTAATAAATTGGAAACAAGAAACTCATCAGAAAAAAATCAAATTAGTGACTTGGAGTAAAGACTTGAGAAAACTGTGAATATAGACCAAGAGACAAAATATTTTAACATTAGAAGATAAATATGAAAGACAAAAAAGTTCCAGTGAAAGGATGAAGACTACCAAATGAAACATTAAAAGTGTTCAGGAATTTCATACAGGAAAAATTTCCCAAAATGAAATTAAAATTGAACCTTTAAAAGGAAAGGGCGGGGACGTCCCTGCCAGTCCAGTGGTTGGGACTCCACTGTGTGGGGGCGTGGCTTTGATCCCTGGTTGGGGAGCTAGGATCCCGCAAGCCGCAAGGCTCGGCCAAAAAAAAAAAAGGAAAGGGTATATGATATAGTCTAAGGAAAAATGGCAAACTTTAACACAAATCAACAATAATGGGGCTTCCCTGGTGGCGCAGTGGTTGAGAGTCTGCCTGCCGATGTAGGGGACACGGGTTCGTGCCCCAGTCTGGGAAGATACCACATGCCGCGGAGCGGCTGGGTCCGTGAGCCATGGCCGCTGAGCCTGCGCGTCCGGAGCCTGTGCTCCGCAACTGGAGACGCCACAGCAGTGAGAGGGCCGCGTAACGCAAAAAAAAAAAAAAAAAAAAAAAAGAATAATGGAAGATAATCCTTTAGGCATCCAAGCAGAAACAGCAAGTCATTAAAAAAAAAAAAGAAAACCATGCCTTACAAACTTGGGGTGGGCTGGGGGAATCATCATAAATTAAGAATATTATGCCCACCCAAATTTCTGTTAAATTAAAAAGCAACAGGCAGAGCTTCTCAGATGTGAGAAAAAAAAATCAGGAAATAACAGTTATCATGAGCCTTCCTTGAAAAAAATACTTAGTGATGAAATCCAACCAACCAAATGATGAATCAAGAAAGAAAGCTCAGGGCTTCCCTGGTGGCGCAGTGGTTGAGAGTCCACCTGCCGATGCAGGGGACAGTGGTTCGTGCCCCGGTCCGGGAAGATCCCACATGCCGCGGAGCGGCTGGGCCCGTGAGCCATGGCCGCTGAGCCTGCGCGTCCGGAGCCTGTGCTCCACAATGGGACAGGCCACAACAGTGAGAGGCCCGCGTACCGCAAAAAAAAAAAAAGAAAGCTCAGGGAATTCCTTGGCGGTCCAGTGGTTAGGACTCGGTGCTTTCACTGCTGTGGCCTGGGTTCAATCCCTGGTTGAGGAACTAAGATCCCACAAGCCCTGCTGCGCTGCCAAAAAAAAAAAAAAAAAGGTCAGGACTAAAGACTATCGTTAAAAAACTGGTAGAGAGCATTAAATCCACTTAAATACAGAGCAAAAGCACAGAGCTAGGGGAATCATGATTGAAAAAAATCTGTGTAAAGGCTGTGTAAACCTTGAGGCGGGTAGGGAGAAAAATAACAATGCTAATTACCTCATTTTTCTTAGCAGAGAGTCTAAACTTTAAAACTGAAACACAAAATGAAACTATGGTTTCACCTTTTAATGATTTTCATCTTTTGTTTTTAACTCTACAAAAACTTTTTAGAATGAATATTTCTTGGGATAAAGAAACATTTATCTGAAATTAGTTATTACTTTAGTTTCTTCTTTGTTAATTTTTAGTGAGATTTAAATACATTTTTATAGTATAAATAGTATGATAGAATGATTCTTATTCTTATAATTTTTTTTCCTATCCATCCATGCAACCATACACCCACCTATCATCCATCCTCCTATACAGAGACATCTAGAATGATGTTTAATGAATGTTAATTATAACTGGCTATTTCTGGGTGATGGACTTGGGTAATTTGTTATTTTTTTTTATACTTTATTACCTAAACTTTTTATAAGAGTATGTACCATTTTTAAAATGTAAAATAATTCTCTAAAATGCAAGAAAAATATATGTTATCATATACTAATAATATTAAATTGTCTGAATTATTCCTGTGGTAAATACAAAAAATATACACCAGGGGGAAAATCTACACATTTCACATAACATAATTTAACCATTTCAATTAAGTCTCTTGCTCCTTCACTGAATTTTGTGGTAGACTCTCATTATTTTTCTGTATAAATTGTCCATCTTTTCTCCAATATGATCAAAGAGATAAAGTTTCAAAAATAGTGAAAAATATTAAGGTTAACTTTAAAAAAAATACTCCATTTATTTCTCCCTTGCCTCCCTGCAGTTTTACTCCAGTAAAATATCTTTAGGTGATAACTATTGGGCAGTGCAAGTCTTAAACACTGTATTACAACACTAAAAAGCTGTAGGAAGACATGTCCCAATTCTAGGGAACTTTCCTTTAGCACTCTGTATCTGTAGCACTTGGGAAAAGCCAACTCAACCATGAAAGCCTTTGTTCCACTCCTAAATTCTCACATGATACATGCAAAAATGTGTCTGGATAATTTCTCTCTTCTTGTTTTATCATTTAAATACAGTCAGTCTTCATTTTGTGGATTCCTTACTTGTGACTACATCTACTCACTAAAATGGATTTGTAACCCAAATCAACATTCACAGCACTTTCCTGGTAGTTCACAGACATGCCACAGAGTGGCAAAAAATTTGAATCACCTAACATGCATGTTCCCAGGTGAGACTGAAAGAGGTGACATTCTGCCTTCTTGCTTCATCTCTCACTATAAACAAGTGTCCTCTTCACACTCTATTTAGTGTCATGTTTTTCACATTTGTGTGTTTTTTGCTGGTTTTTTCACTGTTTAAAATAGCCCCCAAGCATACTGCTAAAGTGTTGTCTAGTGTTTGTAAGTGCAAGAAGGCTGTGATGTGCCTTACAGAGATAATGGATCAACAACATATAATATTAAATGAGGTAGTTCTGACAGACACACACATAAAACAAAGTTATGTATTGATCAGCTGACAAAAATGTTGTAACCAGAGGCTTGTAAGAACTTACCCTGTATTTCCCTAGAAACAATGGCTCAATATTTGCCAATTCAGTGTTCTTGGCAAATTTATAGAGGATAACTACCGTGAATAATGAGAACTGAATATATATGAATAATGAGAATTAACTGCATATACATTAATACAAGATATCACTCAGAAAAACCCACAAAATTCTGTTAACACTGTTAAGAATGGGAAAAAACTAAAAATCCACATTAAATATAATTCCTTCATAGAATTAAAACTTTAATGCTAATATTGTGTTTAATTCATAATAAAATATTTGTAATTCAGTCACATCCTAAATCTTCAGTGCATGACAAGAGTAAAACCTTCAAATCTTGAAACCAGGTCCAAAGTAGTTTTTAAAAATAAATTTAGTTATAATTTTTCCAATATAAAGATAAAATTTATTTTATACTATGGTAAAAAGTATTTTCAAAGTTTAGAACCTAAATATATTCAAAGGCTACACAGAAGCTATATTATATCAATATACAATTCATTTTATAATGAGAGGAGTTACAAGATTTATTGAGTTTTGGTTTTGTGTTTAGCATATATGTTTTCCTCAAATGCTGGGTTTTGGTGAATTTTTCAGTGGCAAGAAGAAATCTTACACTAAAATAATTAGTACTGCCAAAAATAGCACTAGTATTTTAACTCTGTCAGTAATTTTATCTCCCTTGGTACTTAATCTCAAGAAAGTATTTAAAGATTTGATTAAAATAATGGGTAGAAATACTGAAATACTGGGACTTCCCTGAAGGTGCAGTGGTTAAGAGTCCATGCTCAATGCAGGGAGCGCAGGTTCGATCCCTGGTCGGGGAACTAAGATCCCACATGACGCATGGCATGGCCAAAAACTTAAAAAAAAAAAAAAAAAAGAAAGAAAGAAAGAAAAAAAAGAAATACTGAAATACTATTATCTACCCACAAAACACAGAAGTTGTATCTTGCATATAATAATTATTCAATAAATGTCTGCTTATTGAACTAAAAAATTAAAACACTATCACGTTTCAAACAGAGGAAAGGTCACTGGATAATTAACTGACTAACTTAACATGGAACAAAAAAATTACCTTCTATATACTTTAAAAGCCTCTGAGGAGGTAATAAAGGGAATCGAATTGGGTCTAGCACTTCCACCACATGTTTTCTTCTCTTTCCAAGATCTTTCAGAATCCACTGCATGGCAGCTAAGAAGACCTGGTATTCATCCTCGATGCTAAGCTCTTCACTTCTCAAAATTTTGATCAGCTGATCTTTTGTAAGTGCCAGGAACTCTTCCCCACTATGAACCTCCAAGAAATGGACATGAATGTAGTTTTCTGTAAATTCCAAAAGATCATGGCAGGCAATCTGCTCAGAGAACTGAAAGATCCCAACGCAGTTCAGTGGATCAATTTGTCCTTTCAGAAATTCACAGCAAAGATTAACAACTTCAGTCAACTGTAGCATGTCTGCTGCAACAATCAGCTCTTGGACATTATTCACTCCTATGTTCACTATACCTAGGGAAGTAAGGAGACAAAATAACCAATAAAATAAAATAAACATTTGACTTATATTCAAAGACCATTATATTCAATACTTGATTCCACTGATAGCTTAGGCTTTGCCGAGTAGATACTAAGTATAAAGGCAACAAAGAACTTGTAGAAAGGTGCAGAACTTAAATGATAATGGTACCCCAAATTCATGTAACACTTAACAATGAACCAGGCACAGCATTAATTGCTTTATACATTCATTTAACCCTAGCTACAACCCCATATAATAGGGTTTTTCCCCTTATTATTATTTTAAAATTAATTAACTTATTTATTTATTTTTGGCTGCACTGGGTCTTCGATGCTGTGCACGGGCTTTCTAGCTGTACTGAGCAGGGGCTACTCTCTGTTGCAGTGTGCGGGCTTCTCACTGTAGTGGCTTCTCTTGCTGTGCAGCATGGGATCTAGGCGTGCAAGCTTCAGTAGTTGCAGCACGCGGGCTCAGTAGTTGTGGCTCGCAGGCTCTAGAGCACAGGCTCAGTAGTTGTGGTGCACTGGCTTAGTTGCTCTGCAGCATGTGGAATCTTCCCAGACCAGGGCTCGAACCTGTGTCCCTGCATTGGCAGGCAGATTCTTAACCACTATGCAACCAGGGAAGTCCCCACTTTCATATATGTTTATAATGACTTTGGGAAGACATCAAATACTTAATTATATTTAGAAGGGAAAAAAACCACTGTAATTCTACCTAATAAGGATAAACTCTCCATTCAATCTTATACTTTCCCTTTATCCCTTTAAAACATTCAACTAAACTATGTGTCTAAAGTTTGTATTCCCAAATAGATTTATAAACTCTGTTGGGGCAAGGCTTGTTCCTTCTGTATTCCCAATGCCTAGCACACACTAGTGCTCAAAAAAATTATTATATATGAATGAATGGCCAAAGACATTATGGTGAGAGGAAGACTATGGCTTGATGAATGCAAACAGGGGTTTTTTGAAAAGTATAGGAAATGGAATCCACCATGGGAATAAATGGTAGTGGCTGCAGAGAAAACTGCGATAAGACTTAATTGAATGAAATGAGAATTCACTACAAATTTGGAGAAGATAAGATCATGGGTTGTGATGGAAGGTAACTGAATGACTGCTACTGGATGAAACAAAGAGTTACTTGAAAGTACTAAAAAGAATGCCCTACAGCTTAATAAGGCTTTACAGATTATTAAAAGCACTTTTACAGCAACAAAAAAACTAACAACCCAATTGAAAAATTGGCAGAAGACCTAAATAGACATTTCTCCAAAGAAGACATACAGATAGCCATCAGGCACATGAAAAGATGCTCAACATTGCTAATTATTAGAGAAATACAAATCAAAACTACAATGAGGTACCACCTCACACCAGTCTGAATGGCCATCATAAAAAATTCTACAAATAACAAAGGTTGGAGAGGGTGTGGAGGAAAAGGAACCCTCCTACGCTGTTGATGGGAATATAAGTTGGTGCAGCCACTGTGGAAAACGGTATGCAGGTTCCTCAAAAAACTAAAAATAGAGTTGCCATATGATCCAGCAATTCCACTCCTGGGCATATATCGGGACAAACCTATAATTTAAAAAGATACAAGTACCCCTTTGCTCATGGCAGCACTATTCACAATAGCCAAGACCTGAAAACAACCTAAATGTCCACTGACAGATGAATGGATAATATATACAATGGAATACTACTCATCATAAAAAAAAAAAATATGAAACAGGGACTTCCCTGGAAGTCCAGTGGTTAAGACTCTGTGCTTCCACTGCAAGCAGCACGGGTTCGATCCCTGGTCGTGGAACTAATATCCCTCATGCCTCGAGGCCAAAAATAAATAGATAAATAAATAAAAATAAAAAAGAATTAAAAAATTTCATTTGCAGCAACATGGATGGACCTACAGATTATCATACTCAGTCAGAAAGAGAAAGACATACCATATGATATCACTTATGCATGAAATCTAAAATATGACGCAAATGAACTTACCTACAAGACAGAAACAGACTCACAGACATAGAGAACAGATTTGGGGTTGCCAAGGGGGTGGGGGGTGGGGGAGGGATGGATTGGGAGTTCGGGATTAGCAGATGCAAACTATTATATACAGAATGGAAAAACAAGGTCCTACTATATAGCACAGGGAACTATCAATATCTGCTGTATGGCAGAAATTAACACAACATTGTAAATCAACTATACTTCAATAAAATTAAAAAATAAAAATAAAACAGTAAGCTACATGTAAAAGAATGAAATCAGAACATTTCCTAACACCATACACAAAAATAAACTCAAAATGGATTAAAGACTTAAATGTAAGGCCAGACACTATAAAACTCTTAGAGGAAAAAATAGGAAGAACACTCTTTGACATAAATCACAGCAAGATCCTTTTTGATCCACCTCCTAGAGAAATGGAAATAAAAACAAAAATAAACAAATGGGACCTAATGAATCTTAAAAGCTTTCGCACAGCAAAGGAAACCTGACACAAGACAAAAAGGCAACCCTCAGAATGGCAGAAAATATTTGCAAGCGAAGTAATTGACAAAGGATTAATCTCTAAAATATATAAGCAGCTCATGAAGCTCAATATCAAAAAAACAAACAACCCAATCCAAAAATGGGCAGAAGATCTAAACAGACATTTCTCCAGAGAAGTTATACAGATTGCCAACAAACACATGAAAGGATGCTCAACATCACTAATCATTAGAGAAATGCAAATCAAAACCACAGTGAGGTATCACCTCACACAGGTCAGAATGGCCATCATCAAAAATCTACAAACAATAAATGCTGGAGAGGGTGTGGAGAAAAGGGAACCCTCTTGCATTGTTGGTGGGAATGTAAATTGATACAGCCACTATGGAGAACAGTATGGAGGGTCCTTATAAAACTTAAAACAGAACTACCATATGACCCAGCAATCCCACTACTGGGCATATACCCTGAGAAAACCATAATTCAAAAAGAGTTATGTACCACAATGTTCATTGCAGCACTAGTTACAATAGCCAGGACATGGAAGCAACCTAAGTGTCCATTGACAGATGAATGGATAAAGAAGAGGTAGCACACATATACAATGGAATATTACTCAGCCATAAAAAGAAATGAAATTGAGTTATTTGTAGTGAGGTGGATGGACCTAGAGTCTGTCATACAGAGTGAAGTAAGTCAGAAAGAGAAAAACAAATACCATATGATAATACATATATATGGAATCTAAAAAAAAAAAAGGTTCTGATGAATCTAGGGGCAGGACAGGAATAAAGATGCAGATGTAGAGAATGGACTCTTGAGGACACGGGGAGGGGGAAGGGTAAACTGAGACAAAGTGAGAGAGTAGCATTGACAAATATACACTACCAAGTGTAAAATACATAGCTGGTAGGAAGCAGCTGCATCTCACGGGGAGATCAGCTCAGTGCTTTGTGACCACCTAGAGGGGTGGGATAGGGAGGGTGGGAGGGAGAGGCAAGACGGAGGAGATATGGGGATATATGTATACATATAGCTGATTCACTTTGTTATACAGCAGAAACTAACACAACACTGTAAAGCAATTATATTCCAAAAAAGATGTTAAAAATAAATAAATAAAATAAAATTCTAGCTCTACCCCAGCAGTATGACCTTCACCTTATGAAATCTAAATATACTTTCTGAGGGTTTTTTAAAAAAAGTATTTTTATATTTATTAAAATTTATCTCATCTAACCTTCACATGAATTAAAAAGTGCTACTATCCCCAGTTTATGAATAAGGAGAATGAGGCTCTCACAAGCTCATTTCTATTTTTTCAGTACCTACTTTACATTACCTATAAAACTCTGTAAAGGCACAGGCCACACCTGTCTTGTTTACTATCATATCCCCAGTGCCTAGCTCAAAAGATATATTCACATATATATTGAAAGGACGAATGAATAATTGACTAAAGTTCAATGAAATGCTTTGTATCACACAGCTAGTTAGTGGCAGAGCTAGATCACAAACCCAGGTCATTTGATTTTAAGTGAAGTGCGTAAAAATCTATGGTGAGAAGAATCTGTTAAGACCTATTAGAATTGTGAACGGTTAATAAAGAATGCCCAGAGGAGGACTTCCCTGGTGGTGCAGTGGTTGGGAATCTGCCTGCCAATGCAGGGGACACAGGCTCGAGCCCTGGTCCGGGAAGATCCCACATGCCACGGAGCAACTAAGCCCATGTGCCACAACTACTGAGCCTGTGCTCTAGAGCCCACAAGCCACAACTACTGAGCCCACGTGCCACAGCTACTGAAGCCCGCACGCCTAGAGCCCGTGCTCCGCAACAAGAGAAGCCACTGCAGTGAGAAGCCTGCGCACCGTGGTGAAGAGTGGCCCCTGCTCACCGCAACTAGAGAACAGCCTGTGCCAGCAAAGAAGACCCAACACAGCCAAAATTAATTAATTAATTAAAAAAGAAAAAAATATGTCCAGAGGAGAGATTACTAGAATAACAGGTTTTGCTGCCCCATCCCGAAAAAGGAAATGCTATTACAATGAAAATCAAAGATCATGTTTTTAAAGAACTAATTGTATCAAAGACTACAAAGTTCCCTGTCCAATAAATACCCAATATTCATTTTCATTTAATCCGTACTAACAGAACCTTGATTTTGTTGTGAGTGGCAATTGTGCCCTGCTGAAAATTACATTTCTCATCCTTCCTTGCAGATGGGGGTGAATTTTTTTTTTTTTTTTTTTTTTCGATACGCGGGCCTCTCACTGTTGTGGCCTCTCCCGTTGCAGAGCACAGGCTCCGTACGCGCAGGCTCAGCGGCCATGGCTCACGGGCCCAGCCGCTCCGCAGCATGTGGGATCTTCCCGGACCGGGGCACGAACCCGTGTCCCCTGCATCAGCAGGCGGACTCCCAACCACTGCGCCACCAGGGAAGCCCTGGGGGTGAATTTTTGACTGAGTTTGGCCAACTTGATACAGGTAGCAGTTATTGGGGAGGGCTACCAGAAAAGCTTAAAAAGGGATAGACTCAGCCGGCAGGTCCTTTTACCTTTTCCTCTTCTGCCTTCCACTGGCTAAAGTTCACTGATCATGAGATTAGAAGCTACAAGCTATAGATGGTGGAGCAAAATGTTGGAAGAATAACGGGCTACTAATGACATCTAGAAGCCACCATACCAGCCTTGGGATGGCTTCTATGGATTCATTTTTGTTGGAAAAATAAACTGTCTTGTTATTTTATATCTTTTACTAGCGGCCAAATGTTGTTCTTCACTGTTAACCAATTTTACCTTAAATGTCAATATTCTACAATGTTATTATCCCCCAGATATGCTCAGTAGCTTTTATTTCTCTAGGTTTTACTACTTTTTATTCCTTTGATGGAAGTGCTAATCATCAGCAATATGGAGATGATGCCATGAACATTCTCTTTCATGAGATATCTCTTGTTGCTACTGTCAGACAGCAGAGGCAGAATAAGCAACTTGTGGAACTTCTTCTGTTTTTATGTTGTTTGACACTAATTGCATTGGATTAATCTGTATTAATTTATACTTTGCAAATAAGAGAAGCAGGGGCATTTATGAAATAGTTTAATCAGCTCACATAAGTCACTTAGAAAAGTGAGGTCAAGAACCCCTCAATGTTAATCTGTACACTAGTCAATAGGCAGAGCTGCACTGCTTTCAGCAGATAAAAGATAATCATTTTTATTTTTTTAATTTATTTTTTTTAACATGTGATAATCATTTTTACAATCCCAAATTAAAAGCTATTTTCTGAAAATTTCCAAAAAGGAATATGAAACTACACAAAGAAAAGAAATCACCTTGGGACTTCAGTGGTGGCACAGTGGTTGAGAATCCGCCCGCCAATACAGGGGACATGGGTTAGAGCCCTAGTTTCGTCATTTTCCAGGTTTAAATAACATGCTTTAAGTAAACAATACTTTATCAGGCCATATCCCACCAAGTAGTCCTTTAAGGAGAGCAAGGTATATTCTCAAAACTAGAGTGTAAACAAACATAGTCTTTGTTTTCAAACATTTTTTCCTGATTATAAGAGTAATATATATTCACTATAGAAAAAAACTTTAGGGACTTTCCTGGTGGCACAGTGATTAAGAATCCGCCTGTCAACAATGCAGGGGACATGGGTTCGACCCCTGGTCCGGGAAGATCCCACATGACGCAGAGCAACTAAGCCTGTGCACCACAGCTACTGAGCCTGCTCTCTAGAGCCCGCGAGCCACGACTACTGAAGCCCACGCGCCTACAGCCCATGCTCCGCAACAAGAGAAGCCACCACAATGAGAAGCCCGCGCACCACAACGAAGAGTAGCTCCTGCTCCCCACAACTAGAGAAAGCCGGCGCACAGCAACGAAGACCGAATGCAGCTAAAAATAAATAAAAAATTAAATCTTAAAAAAAAACTAAAACAAAATAACTTTAAGGCAGAAAAGCATAAAAATGAAAATCACATTTTCCCATACACAGACATACACTTTTTTTTTTTTGGCCACACTGCACGACTTGTGGGAGGTGTGGAGTCCTAAAGACAGGACCACCAGGAAATCCCTATATTAACAATACTTTAGTGTATCTCTTTCAAATCTTTTTTCCATGTATATTTATGTTACATATAAGACTTATATTTTACACTATGATTTTTGTGTACATTTTATAATGTCATTAAAACTCTTCAAAAACATTTTAAAAATAAAAGTTTGTTTAAATTAATACATGCTGATTATAGACATTTTGAGGAAAAAACAAAAAAAGGGAAAAATAAGAATCTTCCGTATTCCATCATTTAGAGATAAACGCTTATAAATATTCTAGTCTCTTCCTGTGCACAAATACACAAATGAATTTTTTTTTTACAAAATTGGGGTGATACTTTTATCCAGATTTTTTTTCACTTAATATATTGCAAACATTCTTCCATGAGAATGTATGTGTGTGTGTGTACATATATACAAATATAATTTGTGAGAACTAAAAATTATTCCATTATATATACATGTACCATAATTTATTTAACCATATAACCTACTGAGGGACAATCAAACTGTATTCCATTATATACTATTATAAATAATGTTACAATAAATGTAAATATTTGCCTGTATCACTAATTAATTCCTTAGGATTCCCAGAAAAGGAATACTGGGTCAAAAGATATGAACTTTTTGTTTTGTTTTGATTTTTTTGGCCATGCCATGCAGCACTCAGGGATCTTAGTTCCCCGACCAGGGACTGAACCTGAGCCCCCTGCAGTGGAAGGCAAAGTCTTAACAACAACTGGACCACCAGGCAAGTCCCGATATAAACTTTTTTTTTTTTTTAATTTTTTTTTTAATTTTTATTTTATTCATTTATTTTTGGCTGTGTTGGGTCTTCATTGCTGCACGTGGGCTTTCTTTAGCTGTGGCAAACTGGGGCTATTCTTTGTTGTGGAGCACGGGCTCTAGGCACGCGGGCCTCAGTAGTTGTGGCTCATGGGCTCTAGAGCGCAGGCTCAGTAGTTGTGGCGCACAGGCTTAGTTGCTCCACGGCATGTAGGATCTTCCCGGAGCAGGGATCGAACCTGTGCCCCCTGCATTCACAGGCAGATTCTTATCCACTGCGCCACCAGGGAAGCCCTCCGATATAAACTTTTTGAAGGCTCATAATAACATATTGTTAAATCACTTTCTATATGTTAGATCAAGTTATATTCCCATAGCAGAACGTGAGTGATTGCATCATTCTTCACTCAAAGCTACAAGTTCACTTAACATACCTGTGTAAATGAAATCTAGAAGTATTTGAAAGATTCCAGCTTCAATTCCTAGAATCTGTACAACATCTTTTGAGGACTCTTTCATTCCTCCAGTGAACAAAGCTGCAAAGTAAGGACTACTGGCAGCCAAAACCAGCCGATGAACTTTGAAAGTTTCCTTTCCAACTTGCAGCTGCACATCACAGAAATGCTGTCCAGTTCTCATTTTATTGATCTGGGCCAAGATGAGTTGAGCATGTTTATCTGATGAAAAAGGACTATCACCAGCCTTGGCACAGCCCTCATTAGCCATGATGATGACAGATTAATTAAAAGGACTGTTGCCCATAATCTGGTCCTACCCTGAAAAAAAAAAACAAAACAAAAGAGACCAAACAATGTATTTTTGTGTTTAACACGTCTTCTATTCATACACGTATGAAACATTCCCTATCCTCAAGGAGCTTACAATCTATTTAGGGACATAAAACACATATGAAACAAATAAGGGCTAAATTGTGTGGTACTATTTCTAACAGGGTTTCAAAGAAGGGAATAAATAATGGGGCCTAAAATAATTAGATCCATTTCTGCTGAAATGGAACCTGAACTGGACACTGAGTGACAGTGTATTAAGATATGAGGAGAGGGCATTTTGGGTGGAGTAAAGAAAATGAGGAAAGGCACAAAGGTATAAAGATATTTTTGTACACTGCAGTAAGGAAGCACACATGGCAGCCAAAATGAACTTTCAAAAAACAATTGTGATCAGGCCAACTGTCTGCTTAAGATCCTTCAATTTGTACACTTCCCTTAGCACACAAAGCCCTTCAAATTTCACCTCTACCTATCCAGTCCTACCTCCTATAATCCTTTGAACTTAATACTCCAACAAAACCTGACAATTTGCAGTTCTCTAAATACATCTCTTTCATGGCACCCTTCCCCCTCCTTTTCTTTCTGGATCTTTGTTATAAATCAAGACTGTTGAAACTTACTTTCCTCCAGGAAATCTTCCCTGTTCCTCTCTCCTCTGGGTTTGGTGCTCACCCTAACCTTACCTATTTTACAGTATATTATCACATTCTACCTTGTCAGACATTTTACCACCCTACTCCCTACACAGACACACAGACACACACAAACACACACACACTCTGAAAGTTCCCTGCAAGACAACTCCTTAAGGACTATCTTTCATAGCTGTAGCACCAGTATCTAACATATCTTGTTTTCAAATGTTTGTGAAATAAATGAGAACAAAGAAATAACAATAATAGCTTAGGTTGTTTTTGTTTAATTCTGATAACTTTTCCACACATTATGCCAATTGTAATTCTCACAATAATTAAGAGGCTGGAAGAAAAAGATATATTTGAAATAAGGGAAGGAAACTGAAGCTCAGTTTCCCAAGGTCACAGAGTTAGTATAATGACAGTCCTGGTATTTGAACTCAGGTCTTCTTACTCTAAATCCTGGGTTTTTCCCATCATATCATGTGCATATAGAGAAGGAGCTTTGAAACCCAAGCATAGCAATTTAACATGAACCTTTACAGGTTTATGGAGAATAAACATGACAATAGTCATGTTTCAGAACTGTTATTTGAGCTTTCAGGGGATGAGCTAAGAGGTAGCAAAGTCTTAGAAAACAGCCTTCCAGCTTTAACAATGAGAATCAAAGGGATAAATCCAAGTTACTTTTTGAATAAAGAAACCATGAGATCCAGTAATATAAGAGATATGGAGATGAAGCACAGGGGAAATCTAAGATGACTAAGGTATTTAGGCATCAAGGAAAATTAGTAATAAGACTGACAGAAATGGTGTGACCTGATGTTAAAGAAAAGGGGGGGCTAAATTTATAGCATTTAGTCAAACTTATTAAAGTAAAAATAACTAAGCTGATTATCACAATTATCTAGGAATTAACTTATTGAGAAATTTTATTGAAAAGTTCCGAGGTAGCTGCTAAAACTTCACATCAGCATCAACATAAATGTCAACATATTACATTTAACTGGCATATAAAAGCAAACAGTGTATTTGTCTCTACATAGAAATTTGACCTGCAGATATTATTAAACATGGCATGGCTGTCAGGCTTTCTTCTGTTTTAGATTTCTTCCTATCAGCAGATTTTGGACCCCACTGGTTTGTTTAATTACAAGGTACCTCCTCTGCCCCCAACTTCAGAGCATCAAGCACAGCTACTGAACTAAAATGCTGCCTCCTGCTACAAAAAAGTTACTGAATTATCCATCCACTCTGGCAGCCGACAGCAGAAATCCTACTCTATTACTACTACGCTTCTTAGTAACTGCTGATACTATCCCACTGCCACTGGAGTACTTCATTCCAAAAGGCGGCACGTGGTATGACCCTATTTCCAAAAGGAAAGAGCATAATTCAGGGACATCACATACGGATGTAAGGGACGTGCCCCAAGAGACACAAACTCGAAAGGCAGATTATTTAGGAAACGGTGGAGACGCCCAGAGGAAGTAAAGAGGACCTATGTTTAGTGGCCTCGAAGTCACTGCTGCGAGGATCTGGAAGCTGCTTCATTTAGCAAAGCGTGTCAGAAAGAATCCCAGGATGAGCAAGCGTCAAAAGAAATGAGGCTCTTTGTGCTTGACTTGGGGGCTGGACCTGGAGAGCTACCCCTAAGCTGCTGCGACACTAAAGGCAGATAAACATTCCGGTGCTACCTAAACGGCGGGGAAGACATCTCAAATACTTCTGGTGACAACAGACGGGCCGGAGCTCGGCCTCGGATTCCCAGTGGGGGCGGGGAGAAGAGAGGCAGGAAGGGACCGGACTAGACGACGTTCCGGGCGAAAACACTTCGATTATTAGAGCCACGCCTGAACGGCAGGAGGAAGCCGGTTCCTGAGGCTCCTCGCACTCTCCTCCTCAAGGATCCCGAGAGCCGGAGAGAGCCGAGGAGGAAATTCCCAATCCCGTCATAGGCGCCCCCGGGACGCAGGCCCTTCTTACCCGCCGCTTCCCCTTCCCGCTGGCGCCCGCTCAGGCTCTGCGTGCGCAGCCGCGATAAGCTAGCGCACAGACGGGGCGGGGAAAGCCCGGCGGGGTGACAAGGCGCGGGTGACTGGGCAGTGCGGACCGCTGAGGGCTTGAGGCTAGGCCCGGCCGGCTGAGGGGGCCTCTCCGCTCCGCTGGCAGGGCGGGTCTGCGCGTGCGCACTGCTCTTTCGTTCACTGGGAGCGGCGGCTCTCGGTGGGGCGCTGCTGCGGCTCTGGGCTCGTGCTTGATTCCTGGCCGGCAATGGCCTTTGGCCAGCTTAAGCTCCCGCCTTCTGGGGCTGGCCGGCTTGCCGTTTCCACGCCGCCTACCCTCTCGATTCTTGTGGCGTCTCAGGCAGCCAGCGAGCCTCAGTGCTAATGAAAGGGTCGAGATCTACTCTCCTCACACAGCCTATGACGCTGCTCCCCAGGAAGTCAACAACCGGCTGGCTAAACGGCTTGCAGTTTGCACCTCCAGGCCCATCCATCCTTCCAAAGCTCCTGACTGCCCCACGGAGGGAACACACAGAGTAGAATTCAATGTTACCCACACCCAAGATCTGGACAAAGTCATTTCTGCAGTGAAAGGAATTGCAGGTGTATATGTCACTTCTTTTTCTGCTAGGTACAATATATTTTCCTCTTTTTTGTGTGTATTAATTTGTAAGAATCTTTCTTACAAATTCTATAACACTGTTATTTAAGTTTACAGCAAATCATTTTCCTAGGTCGGTTTACAAAGCAGCATACTTCTCATTTGCATGTGGGTCACTGAGGAGGAGAACTATGGGATTTTTTCAAAACAATAAAGATGGTTCACACACAGACACACACACAAAAACACCCCCACATCACCGCACCCCTCACGCAGGGCTGGGCGCTTCTCTATTCCTTACCATTCACTCAGATCACTTAGAGTCTCTGCCTGACTGAGCCCCGTGCTATGAGTGGATGTCTACTTTGAGTGAAGGGACAACTCAAAACGTCCAGTTATTTAAACTGTTGAACCTCATAATATGCCACATTTAAAAATGGCTTTCAAACTTTTGGACCCCAGCTCATAGTGAACAAAAACATTCTACATCAAACTGGATACCACATACCTACCACATAGATAGATATACACATCTGAAACAAAAATTTCACAAAACTCTTGTTGGGGAGGGGGAAATTTCCCCCTCTACTCATCTTGATTTCTTGTGTCTGGACTAATAATAAAATTGACACAAGACAGTTTAACAGGAAAAAAAAGAAAATTTAGTTGTTCACAAGGAGGACTCATAGAAAGGGGCTTAAGAAATGGCCAAAACAGACAGCTTTTATATATTTAAACAGAGAAACAATCAATTTATGAAGAATTGACAAAGAAACTAGGTTTTGGGAGTTCAATTAGCGAAGAATCTAAACAGTTTGGGCTTGGGGTAGTAAATGGGAGGAAGTAACAAGGTTTGTTTATACAGGCTTGTTGGCCTGAATTCCCTATCTCTGGAGATAAGAGTGTCCTTCTACCTCCAAATGCAGGGAGTGCACCTTTCATGTGAGAGATTTATTTCCTGCTTTCAGGGAGATAGAAAGGAGGGTTAGAGTGTCTCTCTTGCGTTGGCCATCTCTTAAGTTACTTTAATTCAAAAAATTTGGGACTTCCCTGGTGGTGCAGTGGTTAAGAATTTGCCTGCCAATGCAGGGGACACGGGTTCGAGCCCTGGTCTGGGAAGATCCCACATGCTGTGGAGCAACTAAGCCCGTGCGCCACAACTACTGAGCCTGTGCTCTAGAGCCCGTGAGCCACAACTACTGAGCCTGCATGCCAAAACTACTGAAGCCTGTGTGCCTAGAGCCGGTGCTCCACCGCAAGAGAAGCCACCTCAATGAGAAGCCCACGCACTGCAGCGAAGAGTAGCCCCAGCTCACCTCAACTAGAGAAAGCCCACCTACAGCAACGAAGACCCAACGTGGCCAAAAATAAATAAATAAAATAAATTTATAAAAAAAAATCAATATGAGGTACATTTTGGGGCACCTACCCTGGGCCCCAACACTTATTTATATTTACTACCAGCAATGCACTAAATTTCTATTGCTTCTTTTTGATTTCATTACCAAAAAATGCTGAAAGGGAACTGTTGTAAGGAAAAATTGTCAAAGACTTGGAAATGAGCAAAAGAAATTACTTTTCAGTGTAAGCCTGGGCATTGTCTAGCAGACACTGGAAGGATTTGAATGCATAAGGATGTCTTTCTGTTGACTAAGATATTTTACAAGAAAACTGGTAATATTTAGAGTAATTCTTGTCCACGTTGAAGAAAAGATACCCCCAAACATTACATTTTATTGACCTATAGAGTATTAAACCACTTTGCCTCTGTTAGCGAATTCATTTCAATATTCTTGTTTCTTAGCAAATTCATACAACATTCCTGTAACATTTTACTGTCTCACTCATTAATTAACGAGATAAATAACATTTTGACGTGTTTATTTTATATTCCTGTGAAAATCGTCGGTTTACCTTTCAGAAAATTATACCTCAGCACCACTAAAATTAATTTCACAATTTACTATTTTATTGCACCTAGCAATATGAAAACTGGTGCTTAGAGCATATACCTAGGAGCAGAATTGCTGGAACATAGGATATGTGCATCTTCAATTTCATTAGAAAATACTTCTTTTCCAAACTCATTTTTCCAGTTTACATTTCCACCAGCAGCAAATGAGAGTTGCCTGGCTTCACATCCTTGCCAACACCTAGTATCATCAGATGTTTCAATTTTGTATAATCTGATGAGTGTAAAATGGTATTTTATTTTTATTATAATTTACATTCCCTGATTATTAATGAAATCAGGCAGTAAAGATGTTTATAAGCTGCTATGGACTGAATTTTGTCCCCCCACAACTTGTATGTTGAAGCCCTAATTCCCAATGTGATGATATTTGGAGGTGGGGCTTGAGGGAGTTAATTAGGATTAGATGAGGTCATGAGGATGGGGCCCTCATGATGGGATTATTGCCCTTATAAGAAGAGACACCAGAGCATGCTTGCTCTCCCTCACTCCACCCACACATGCATGATAGAAGGCCATGTAAGTATCTAGTGAAAAGGTGGCCAACTAGCCCCCACTTGCATAAAGAAGCAGTCATAAGAGCACATAGGGAGATGATGGCTGCCTATCACCAAGCCGAGAGAGAGAAGCCGCAGAATGAAACCTACCTGGCTGGCAACTTGATCTTGGATTTTCCAGTCTCCAGAACTGTGAGAAATAAATTTCTGTTGTTTAAGCCAGGGGTCTGCAACCGGTCCACAGCTTGTTAGGAACCCGGCTGCACAGCAGGAGGTGGGCACTGAGGAGCAAAGCTTCATCTGCCGCTCCCCATTGCTCGCATTACCACCTGAACCATCTCCCCTCCACCCCCGTGGAAAAATTGTCTTCCACGAAACCAGTCCCTGGTGCCAAAAAGGTTAGAGACCACTGATTTAAGACCCAGTCTGTGGAATTTTGTTATGGCAGTCAAAGCAAACTAATACACAGGCTAGTTAAGTTTCCTTTTGTGTAGAATGGCTATACATGTGTTTTGCCCAGTTTTCCATTGAATTTTTAGTTTCTTATTTAGGATGTTTTTTGATTATATGTGTTGCCAATTTTTTATTCATTATCTCTCTCTTTTTTTTTTTGGCCGCACTGTGCGGCTTGTGGGATCTAGGTTCCCTGACCAGGGATTGAACCCGTGCCCCCTGCGATGGAAGCACAGAGTCCTAACCACTGGACCACCAGGGAATTTCCTTCATTGTCTCTTTTAATGAACAAAAATTTATAATTTTACCAGTGTATTAGTCTATTTATTTATTTATTTATTTATTTTCATCTTTTTTTTTTTTAATTTAATTTTAATTTATTTTTGGCTGCGTTGGGTCTTTGTTGCTGCAGGCGGGCCTTCTCTAGTTGCGGAGAGCGGGGGCTACTCTTCATTGCAGTGCTTCCAGTAGTTGTGGCGCACAGGCTTAGTTGCTCTGTGGCATGTAGGACCTTCCTGGACCAGGGCTCGAACCTGTGTCCCCTGCACTAGCAGGCGGATTCTTAACCACTGCGCTACCAGGGAATCCCTAGTCTATTTATTTATGTTTTGCACTTTTGGTATATTGCCTAAGAAATTCTTCTCCTCCCCAATGTTACAAAGATATTATATTATATTTTCTTCTAAAACTGTTATAATGTCTCTTTTCACATTTACTTCTTTAAGTCACTAGGAATTAATTTTTGAGTATGGATTGGGATAGGGATACAATTTTTTTCCCCATATGAATAACTAATTGTCACAACATTATTTACTGAATATTTCATATTTCCTCACTAATCTTCAATGCTAGCTCTCTCCCATTTTATGTTTCCTTTAGGGCTGGAATCAGTTCTCTATTCAGTTACATTGATTTATTCATACATGCCCTGCTGCTTTAATTGCTATACTTTTGTAATGGGTCTTGATATCTGGTAGAATAAGTTTCCCTGTCTTGCTCTTCTTCAGTGGTGTCTTGGCCATTCTTGGAACACCTGGTTCTTCCACATAGATTTTAGAACCAACCTGTCAAGTTTCACACACAAATACATACAAGGGGGGAAGGAGGGGTTCTACTAATATTTCAATAAACCTATAGGACAATTTGGAGAGAATTAACGCCTTCATAATATTGAATACTTTTATCCATTAATAAAATTAAATTTTAGAAAAGTTTGAAGTTTTATATTATTATTCATAAGGGTCTTATATATCTTTTATTAACTTTATTCCTGAGTACTTTCTCTTTGTACTATTATAAATAGTATCTTTTTAAGAATTACATTTTGTTTGTTGGGGTACTTCTGTGTGTTGATTTTATGGCTTCTTTTTTATGGCTGAGTAATATTTCATATACATATAATGGAATATATATATATACTCCATTGAAATATATAGATATATATATTACATCTTCTTTATCCATTTATCTGTTGATGGACACTTAGGTTGCTCCCATGTCTTGGCTATTG